CTGGTGGAAAGGTTTCTTAAATTGTAGGGACAGTGATATACTTGACTATGGAATGCACTTCAGTACATTTTGCTTGCTTTCTCATTTGTTTTATTTGCAAGGTATTTATCTTCTGAAGTTAATAGTTAAATATCAGTAGAAACCTCTGGAGAAGTCAGTACCTAGTTCTTAAAACATGTTGGAAAGGTAGCTTATGTTTATTTCCAAGTGATTATTTTGTGTATAACCTCACACAGTTTATCCAAAGAGCAATCTAAAGTATTTCAAAGCTCGCTTATTAATGGACTCCCACGTTCTCTTACACAGCCTTAATTTCATTATGCTCTTCGTTTCATGTTTCTATCCTCTTGTGGGACACTTAGGCTAGTTTCTGTCCCAATACACAAGGAGGATTGTTAACTCCATTTCTGCTTTCTTTAATGTCAGGCAGGACTCTGATACATTTCAATCCCTAGCCACACACGCATATTAAAAATAATTATATGCTGCCTACCACCTTGCTGTCTGGCGGTCCCGTTAAACTGTTGCTAGGTCCTCCTGCGCTGCAGAATCTAAGCAGCTCTTTGCTTCCCACTGGAAAGATCTGAAATGCTCAGTGACAGTTTTCTCTTTTTTTCTCGCTCTCCTCACTCTCAATCATCTTTCCTACATTTAGCTGAGTTCTTAATTCCTTTCGCTTCTTTAGAAGAAAAGGCAAAAGCGGCTGTCAGAGGCAAAAAATGTTCTTTCTTGCCTTTTCATCTCCAGGCAGATGAATCAATAAAAGATGAAGACAAAAGTGCTCCATCTTCTGGTCAAGGGTGAACATTAAGCCGCAGCTAGTCCCTATTGTCAAAGGAAGCATTTTATCTCCGGGACAAGACCCTGCAGACAACCATTGATGAGTTCTCCAATATTATCAAGAATAAACACCCTTCTCCAAGGCTCACAAGCTGGAAATCGTTTTCTCCCAGCTTCCTTCTCTTACTTTCGTCATTCACCCTTACCAATCTAAGTCTGATAATGATGAAAGATGGTGTGGTGTTCAAGGTGGGTGCTCTCTGTGCCCCCTTTGCGCCTGGCACAAGTTACTTAATCTTCTGCTTTCTCTGCCCTTTCATTCACAATGTATGTGTAATGTTTTATATAATATATGTGTGTATGCAATAACGATGTACATAAGATGACATATATGTGTATAAAATAGTGATACATTACTGTGAAGACTAAACAAAACAAGATTTGTAAAATAAACCCACTGGGTTATTTTGGGAACATAAAGAGCACCCAATAAATGTGAGTGACCCTGACACCCTGATTATAATTATTGATACATCCATTTTTCAGTCATTTTTAGTTTAATTCCATTGAAACTGTTCAATCTTTACTATGGCCAAGTAGGACTTTTTTTCAATGTAAATTTTGTCTCCGCAAAATTAATAGTCTACTAGCAGTGACAAAAGAAGTACTTAAGCTGGGCATGGTGGCACACACCTTTAATCCCAGCACTCAGGAGGCAGAGACAGGAGGATTGCTGTGAGTTCAAGGCCTGCCTGGGCTACAAAGTCAGTTCAAAGCCAGCCTGAACTGCATAGTGAAACCTTGTCTCAAAAAACCAAAGATGTACAAAAGAAGCACTTAAATAAATTTAATACAAATATGGTGGATGACAGGGAGCTTTCACAGGACAATGGTTTTATAGTTGTAATATGCATATTAATCACTTGGTGATTCTGATAAAATGCAGATTTGAATTTAGTGAGTCTGGGGTGGGCCTGAGAGTCTGCCTTTGTAATAAAAGGACTTTCCTATGAGTAAGTGGATCCTAGGATATTAACATGTAATATAAACAGGGCTTCTATCTGGTTGGTGTGCACCAGCATAGATGTACTGTTTCTTTACAGGCTACAGCTGATTGGCAGTTATCCATGATAACCCTGTGTTAAAACTGCCACCATACATCACTCTGAGTGTGTTTCATACAGTACTCTGTGAGGCTGATTTGGAGAGCTTAGATGTTACTCTTGGTTTTAAATTCACTGAGTCAAGTCAGGGAGCAGGGTGCTGCATGCCTGTAATCCCAGCAGTCAAGGAGGCTGAGTCAGGAGGATCATAAATTCAAGCTCAATCTGGGCAACTGAATGACTTAACAAAAACCCACCTGAAAATTTAAAAAATACAAAGGGCTGGAGATGTAGCTCAGTATGAAGACCCCACCTTCAGTCCCGAGTACCAGAAAAAAAGTTACTCCATCATACAGCGAGTAAGACTCAAGAACATCCATGAAGGATTAGCAGAATTTTATTCATTTCCATCTGCCTGGGTAGCAGACTATCTCTACCCTTCCCCACGGTCATGGTGCATTTGAACATAGAGTGGGCTCCTGTGATTGCTGTCTGAGCCAGTGCTCCGTTTGACCCTTGAGGACAGATCTCTTTAGAAGAATTATGCCTCATGTGCTGTTCCCCTGTTCCCAGGGCTTTGTTGTTGTCATTTCTGGTTTTGGAATGAAATTATACAGTAACCAAATGTAGTGACCTCCTCGATCTGAGCCCAAGCCAAGACTTTCCCAGCTGAGACCAAGGAGCACATGTGTTCCGGCAGCCAGATGCCAAGGCTTGCAGTGGATACTAACCTTTCACTGGAGAGCTTCACATGTAAACCTGGATGTCCAGCTTCAAGCATTAGGAAATCCAGGTGCCCAGAACTCAACATCCTACCTGAAAGCAAGAAGGAGGTGTGTGACATGGTCAGACAGCCCCAGAGTCGGGCTGGTGCTCTGGCCATGTCTACACACCGGGAAAAATCACATCATCCTTTATATCCCTGACCGGTTTCCCACTCAAACCCAGCAATCATTTTGTTTTGGAAAAAAGATTATTGTTACTAATGATATGTTAGTATGGAATATATATAGTGGTGATTTTCAGAATACAAAGAGACTTTTTCTCACTAAAATTCATCTTACTAAAATAATGACAGCAAATCTGCTGCTGTTATTCCTTCACTTTCTTGATATGGAGCCTGTCTTCCTTCACCCTTTCAGTATTCAGTTCCGGTCACTCGTTTCTTCCCTTCCCTCCTGCGCAAGTGAAAGAACATCTGACTCTGGAGGAGAAAAAGGATGAACCAAAGAATCAATACTTCATTTCATGAGTGAGACATTTCAAATAGCTCTGCTGGCAACTTTATGAACCAGGAGAGAATTTGATGAAGTAAAGAAGCCAGAGAAAAGATTGTGTGAGTTTTCCCAGCCCATGTTCGCTAGACAGAGAATTTTATTACCAACTGTGTAAAATTTGGGAAAATCACTTAGGTTTCTAAAGCCTCATTTACTCTTCACAAGCACTTATAAAATAAAGGGAGAGAGGCAAATACAGAAAATAGTTTTCCATCACTTTAAAAGCTTTTCAATTTACTATAGACCTATATTTTGAAACCAAGACTCTATTTAGTCACTTAAAATTTTATAATTTATTTTCATTTATTTCCATTCTTATTTAAAAGTAGTCAAAATTACCAAGCAAATTTCAATATTGGGAGGAAAAAAAAGACACAAATTGCCATCTTTATGGTCAAAAGCTTTTCCAACTTTTTGTCTTTTTTTTTCTTTTTGGTACTAGGAATCGAACTTAGGACCTTGCACATGCCAGGCAGGCACTTGTGCTGCTGAGCTAAATCCCAGGCCCTTTTCCAACTTTTTATAACCCTTTTAAATAGATGGCCTTCTCCCGCATAGCCATGTGACAATCTGAAACATCAAGAAGCTACTAAAGGCAGACAGGATGACTCCAGACCTAAAAACTTCTCCAAACATGACTTCAAAGTAAATGAACCACTACCCCCAGTCTAACTGGACAAGTGATGTGATATACTGGAAGAATCTGGCTTGTTTGAAGTTAGAAGACAGCAAATATCTAGACTCAGATTAGGGCCTCATTTCAAATCCACTGAGTCATGAAGTTCTCAACGTGAGGAAGAGCTCAGGAGTTTGTGGTCCACCGCCCGCTGATGCATCCGGCTTTCCTCACTTGCTGGGAATGACCACACTACGCCTCCATCACCTTCTGTGCAGGCTCAGCTGCCCTCTGAAGCAGAAAATGAGAGATAGTGCCTGAGCATCTTCTTCATGACCAAAGCATCCCACCACACTAAGAAGCATCCATAGAGGCACAGACGTGAGAACAGGAGCTTTCGGTCTCAATCTCGGCACTTCTGTGTGCAGCCAACAGACCCTAGCCAAGTTCCTAAGCTCCCTCTTCTTTATTTTCTCATGTGCAAAATGGGCATAATAAAGAACTTAGCTTACAGGTTCAAGTTAATAAAAATTAAGCACTTAGAATAGTGCATGGCATGCTGTAAATTCCACATGTGTCCGTTGAATGAAAGTTCCTAAGTTCTGTGGTGTGACAGCCTACTAGGAATTTCTTAGTAATCGGTTGTGTAGAATCTTCCCCTTGCTGGCCTGCTGCTTGCTGTCTTCCCCTCCTGCCCTCACTTTCTGGAAACAGCTGAAATATTGAACAAGTGTGGTCTTGGCAACACTCTTACCAAAAGACTATGCCCACAAGGTGCTTAGTTAATGGTATGTGCCATTTAACATATTACAAAGCAGTTCAAATAACCAATGCATTAAATTAAAGGGGTGCCATACACAAGCTAAAAATTCAATGTGCCAATCAGAATCTTAGTCTGTAAGGATCCTCGCATTCACTCTCCTTTTCCTTCACCCTCAGCTGTGTGTCCACCCCTCCAGATTGCTCTACCCTCTGCTATTGGCACATCTCCAGAATCGGAGGACTGACTTCTAGCCTCCGCTGTCATCTCTTGCTTCCCAACCATGAGCTACAGCACCCTCTCCCACCACTTGACATGACAAAGACACTGGACACCAGCGTGCTGAAGGTGTTAGGAGAACCCCTCAGCTTTCCTCGTGTTACTGAACTCACCTCACTTCGCATTGACTAAATGCCTACTGTACACAAAATGCTAGAGAATACAAAGTTCAATAACTTCTGACGATAAGCATCTTACATTGGACAAGACATTCATGTCATTGCCTCATCTATAAGAGGGCGTGTAGTTTCTTAAGGTTTAGTTACAGACTATTGGAGCACAAAAGAAAGTACATGTGAGCAGGGGTTTTATTTTCCATATTAACTGTTGGATTCCCCAGCCCTTTGGGCATACAGAAGTCTCTCGATAAATATTTGTTGAAAAAGTACTTAGCAAAAGAAGTGACTCTGAGTTGGGCTTTAGCTAATAAGCAGATGGACCCGTTAAGGGGAATCGTCAGTTTGATTGGCTCGGGAGCCGCCTGGGGAACGGGCGAAGAGCACTTCTGGGTGTGTTTGGTGGTCATTTAGCATCCACATCTGATCTCTCATCACTGCTTCTCACTCCCTTCTTTCTCTTGCTCTCCTCTGCTTCCTGGCAGCTGTCAGCTGAGCAGCTTTGATCTTCCACGCCCTTCTGCTGTGGCGTTTCTGCGTGGAGACGGAGAATCACCCTCTGAAACAATGAGACAAATAAACCGTCTTCTCTAAGTTGCATATATCTGGTCCAAGCAGTGGCCAAGCTGACTAATATGGAAGGCTTTCAGTAAGTGAGGAATGATTGAAAGACCATTATAGAAGGAAGAATCCGTTCCAATAGAAGCACGAAAGTTTCTAAATACAGCATACCTGAGGTAAGAAAGTAAATACAAGATAGGGAAAGGAAAAGATTTGGTGAAATTTATTTAAATTAATTTTATATCCTATCAACTTGTTTTGAAGTTCTGTAATGTTTTTATTGTTTTGTGTTGTTTTATTTTTGTCTTGTTGTTTTGTTATTGGTTTTTTCTCTTTAAAATAAAAAAAAATTAATTTTACAACAGAAAATTATGTTTACAGCAATAGTATTCTATTTCAGAGAGCCCAGTGACATTTACAGATCATTCTGAGTATTTTTAGAGTGATCCAGGTCCCAAGTGGATAAACCACAAAGTAAAAGATGTGCAGTATTTGTTAATGTCATAAAGAATAGATTGAATCCAGGGAGCAGAGAAGCTGGGGGAAGAAAGGGAGAGAAGAAAGGAATAAGACACTTAGGCTGAAGTAAGAAGCCAGGGCCCTTGTCACAGCTGTATTTAGTGTCGTTTTATTTTATTATTTGAATGTACTTCTGTGAAATCCATGTTTCCCACTATAGCTCACCCTGCTTTAATGACATCATCTGGAACCAGTGGTCATCCTGGCTGCTGAGTCTTTCTGCATCAGAGAAAACAGGCCGGAGGAGTCAAGGAAGCATTTTAGTTTCTGCTAACTACTGTTATGAGAAGAGGAGGTTTTGTCCTGATGGCAACTTTCCATCATCTATAGAAATTGCTTCAAGATCAAGAAAAGGCCAAAAACACCTCCAATGGGAGTAATTAGTGGGTTTGAAAGAACAAACATTCTGCTTTGTTTCTTCATTTCCAAACACCTCCTCCAAAATCTGGCCACTTGATAGTTAACACTAAAGTTTACAGTCGTGTGTAGCATTTTTCAGTGGTTTATATGTGAACCATTCCTTCAGAAACTCACTGGCTTGCAGGGAATGTTTGTCTCACACACTGTTTCTCACTGCCTTGCTGGGGCTACAACTTCTGGCCTCTATCTTACTTCAAGTTCACCAGAACTCTCCTCCCAGGAACCTGGATGAAGCCCAGGTGGTGCAGCTACAGATACATAGCAGCCTGACTTTTGTTTCGGTGCAGGATTCAGCCACAGTTTCCCAGCCTATTTTTAAGTATGGAAGTGAAGCCGCGCTGTGACACAAATGCATTCAGAACAAGGCTCCCATTCTCCTTACTGGGGAGAAGGAGAGAACCATAGTTGCTTCAAGTAGGGATCTGAGTTGAGGAACAATTTTCTAAGCTTTCCAGGTCATAATCACTGAGAGTGTTTATCAAAGAACTTGAAATTCACAGCCAAGTAGGAATACCCATGTGCGTTCTGAAACTTTAAGACAACAAAATCCCTTAGGGTGGGGTGTGTTGCTCTGTAGCGACCTTAGAAAACAGTTTAATATAACAGTTCCAAGAATTAGAAATTGAACTTACAAACCAGACACTCCAGGGGATGCCAGCCCACAACACTGCCTGCAACTAACGGCGATGTGGTTTAGATCAGCTCTGGGAATGCACTCAATGTTCAAAAAGAGCCCAAGGGACCAAGCAGAGAATGTGGTAAAAGGGCCCAGTAGTATATATTTTTCCTATTTACCACCTTCTCAAAATGAAAATGGATTTTTTTTTCCAAATACAAGCTAGAGAACAGTCTTGTGTAGCATTTTTCAGTGGTTTATATGTGAACCCTGCACTCACTGGCCACTTCTATTCCTGCAAACCAGCCAGGTCTGAGAAGAAAGCAACTATTTCAGAAAGAGGATAAAACAGCAGCCCACAAACCATAGAGAACAGAAAAGATAAAAGATGAACACCCTTTTAGTGTAGTCAAAACAAAAACTTGATCAAGGCACACACCTCCCAGTCTCAAAACTCAGTATAAAGACTTTATTGTAGAACACAAAAGTCTCTGAAAGGAAGAATAAAGACAAAGGAATGGCCAGAAGAAAGAGAAGGGGATGAAACAATGATGTTCTCCCAAAACCAGGAACAAAATTCATCACCAAATAAAGGGCACAAAAGAAAGACAACTACAAAACAGAAATACAAAATGACTATGGCATGTTGGGCGAGGAAGCCAGTATGACAATATTTTCTCATAAAATGATATTCTATTTCATCACCATATGCTCCGGGAAAATCCAATATGTTCCTGACAGACTTTGAACATTTTTTTCCCAAGATGCTTAAAGCTTTAGGGAATATGTCAAAGATACTTAGCACCCATTGCATTTTTGAATATTACACATTGGTAATTCTCTGGTTCATGAATTTTAATAATACCACTGTAATTCAGTTTGCCAGTCATTCTCCCAGGCTCTGGATGATAAAAACATGTAGCAGCAGATTCTGTTTGGGTTTTGTTCCAGGATACTGCTGACTCTGCAAAGGGAGCACATATATGTGTGTGTGTGTGTGTGTGTGCGCACACATACATTTCATTTTTCTTTCTCCCCACCTCATATATTGCATATGCATGTGCATTTTGAATGTGTGTGTGTATATATATCTTTAAATATGTACATATAGAGAGAAAGTATGCTAAGATTTGGAATTTAAACATTATTTCAACTATTATTTCAAAACACTAGTTGATCACATTTCAAAATATAACTCACTGGTTTAGAAAAAGAAGTGCGCTTCAAGATTTACTGAATTTAATTACAGATTCACAATTTCAAACTACTAACACCAGCACGAATTCAACAGGAGAGTCAAATGCACCTGATGCGCCACTTGCTGCGCACAATTCCTTGTGGAGGACTTCTTCAGCTACTCCTATCCCATACCTCCTCAGTCCAGTTCGTTTACAGACCTCTAACAACATCTGGATCACCAGTGGGCTGTTACAGCTTCAGCACAAATGACTTTACCATACCTGGGAATGTGCTTGGTGAATGACTTCTCTAAGGCAATACAGATGCTCTTTGATTCCCGATGGGTTTTGTCAAATAAAGACATTGTAAGTGGAAAATACATTTAACCCACTTAAACTGCTGAGCATTATAGCTTCACCTAGGCTACCTTCAACACACTCAGAACACTTGCATCAGCCCACAGCAGGGCAAAAGCATCTAACACAGACCACTTTTAAGTTTCAAAACCTCATGTTATTTACGGAATGCCCGCGTCCAAAAGAAACCCATGGGCAGCACAGCACACGGCAGAGGGCTGCTGATTGGGAGACTAGCTAGCACCACCCACTAGCAGCAGCCTCGTGCTGCTAGCCCAGGAAAAGACTCAAATTCAAAACCCTAAGTATGATTTCTGTGCTTTCACACTTCCATAAAATAGAAATGTTGTAACTTGAACCATCGTAAGTAGGGGACTGTTTACCCATAAGTACTGAATTAGGTGCTGCACCATTCATACTAGCGCAAAATTGAAAGGATTGAGTTTTTTCTCTTTATCTGGTATTCTCTTTCTTCAGTCTTCTATTTTATTACATTACATTTATTTTATTCTCCCAGCCCAGGCTTCAGATGCGCCTCTCGTCAATTCCTCTGTCTTCCCGCCTCACCCTTGCCATGTACTGTACTGCATTAGTTCCCTAGCAGCCCTGCACTCACTGGCCTTTGTGCTCTTTCCCTCCCATTCCCTAAATCAGACTCTCATCCGCTCCTGCGCGCCTCTGTAGTCGCTCCGCTTCCTTCTTTCCATCCGGGTCCCCTCCAGCTCACTCCCTTTGTTGACACAGGGTAGGTCTTTCTAAAGTGCTGCTTTAATCTCTTCACTCCTCTGCTCCAAAACAAAGGCAGCCACTACTTACAGGATAAAGAATAAAGTCCCCATCTCCAAGCCTGGGGCAGAGGCAGATGCACCAGCCTCTTGCTGGTAGCTGCTCACTCCCCTACTTTGCAACACAAGCACTTTGCTATGTGTGGTTCATTCCATTCTCAGTCTGAGGGACTTCCATGGGCGTTGGCACCTTCCTCCCTTTCCACCTTTCCTGTGCATCCTAACACACTTCCTGAGGCCACCTTTGCCCAGATGATTCAACCTGCACCACACACTGGCTTTTTGTTCAAAGTCAACTGTGTATCACTGGCCTCAGACTTGGCCCACCACCGCTGAACAGCAGACTTGTCCTTTGTTTTCTCCTAATAGATGCGAGCCTTCCGAGGATAGGTGCTTTCCAGTAACACTTATTAAATTCCTGCTGTGTGCAGGGCCCTGCCGTAGGTTCTACTAAAAATAAGGAGGATTGTTCATTTTTGGCATTCCTTGACAACAAATAATGGTACGGTGCACATTATGAGGGAACTAACTTCCACAGTTTTCATATTGTGCAAATCTCTTCTTTGTGGCTCTGGGTTACTAATCTAACCTCTGTGGCTACACAGTGCAGCCTTAAGGGCTCATCAAAGCCCATAATGGGCTCTTCCTGCACTGTGTGTCCATGTCTATTGTCATCTCTCTCTATCTCCCTTCACTTTCTTTGTACCTATTTTTTTCAAGCCCTTTTCTAATTCACATGCTCAAAATCAGGCTCTTTAAGCTCATTAGAAATTAATCTTTTGGCTCTGATTGACAACTAAGGGATTCTGCTATGACTTAAATCCTAGCATGTGAATACTCAAGCAATTTTCAACATACGTTTTTGCTTCTCAGAAGTCAGTCTGGGTTTTTTTCTCAGGTTTTGTGGTACAGGCAATTGAAATGACAAGGCAAATGACATTTGAAAACTTGGAAAAATGGGCTATTAATGAAATTTCAGCTATTATATAGGAATACACATTTCTTGGTACATATAGGTACAAAAACATGCATTGTGAGCCTATGTTTCACACACAGGAAGCAGTCTTCAACAGAAAAGGGAATGCAAAAACCCAGACTTTATGATTGCTAGATTATTTTTTAAAGAAAATTATATATTAAAGTCCTCCAAAAGTTCTTTAGTTACATGACTCATTCATACTTATTAAATTCACTGTTTGCCTTTTCTCAGATTGAAACGTAACATAAAAAAGCAATGATTTACTTTTCAAAGGTCAGAACAATTTTAATTGCTTTTTAGAATATGATGATCTTAGCTCAATCAAGTAGTATTAATTCTGTCTCTCTGTGCAACTAATTTAATAACCCTTTTAGCCTGTGGATGCAGAAAGTAGTTCAGCGCTTTTGAAGATTAGTAACCAGAACCCCTTCAATTCCCAGGAATGACCTGATTAGGTTGATTAAAGCTCTCTGGATGCCTTAGCCATTTTGCTGAGGAGCAGCCATTGTGTGATTACCCAGAGCAGTAATACGTGCCTGGCCTAGTTCTACTAACGTTATACTTGGGTCACAGTGCTTAAAGCCATGAGATCTTTTTTTGGTTTGGTTATACTTTATCAACAACAAAAAAGAAAACATTGCTTTAGAGAAACAAAATGTTCATCCCCCTGGACCAATCTCCCTTTGTGGGACTCTGAGCTACTTGCTTCCACACCGACCTCCAATAATGAGTTTCTTCCGTACCATCTTCATCTGTCCTACTTCATCGTTTCTTAAAAAAATGAGCTTAGAGTCACTAACTTTGGATCATGTCATGTTACAGATTGTATTGTGACCCCCTGGTTTATATGCTAAGCCTTACCCACTATACCCATGAGTATGACTATATTTGGAGATCCAGCCTTTAAAGAAGCAATTAAGGCAAAATGAGGTCATGTAGGATGCCCTAATCCAAAATGACAGTTATTCTTAGAAGAAGAGATTATAACACAGATACGGGCCTGAGGGGGAAGGGCCATTGGAGAATACACAAGAAGGCCACCATCTGCAAACCAAAGAGAGAGGCCTCAGAAAACCTGACAACACCTTGATCTTAGTCTTCTAACCTCTAGACCTGGGAAAAAAATAATTTCTGTTGTTTAAGCCATTCAGTCCGTGCTACTTTGTTACACTGGTTCTAGCAAACCAACACACACAGCTTTGCCACTTGGGAAGCATGTGACTTCTCTGTAATGGTGGGCTATGCCCACTTTGAAAATTGTTTGGGGAATTAGGAAAACATGAATTGCCCAATTTTCTCACAAAATGCATTGCTAAAAGTTGTTAAATTTGTGAAAGTCAAATAGCATTATCATGTATTCTCTGAGTGGAGCTCCATATTAGTATGCTGTTAAAAAAGATAAAATTTCCAATCACAATCTATTTTAAACATAATTTTGGACCATAGATTTCTAGAGTTTTGTCCATAGTCTATAATTCTGACTTTTTGCTTTGAGAATTAAGCCACAGTTAACTGGCCTAAGATCAATAAATGTTCAATTAAGGAGAAATTGCCCCAGCTTTTGGCATCTTGATGATTACCATCTTCTTCTAGATTGAATTAATTTTATGAGCACAAATTACTTATCATTAAAATCAGCACTCTTATACCTTCATTTCTCCATTCCACACCTTTTACCAAATAAGTATAAAGTTGAAATTACTCGATAAAGCACTGCTAGAAAGATTAAAATGGAAGATGCTGCTAGAACTCAAGTATCAGCTAAGAGGCAGCTCTGCCAGACTGAAAATAAAAATTTGCAATCCCAGATCCAGAGATCCAAATTCCGCCTAGAAAAGACTATTAAGAGTCCAGTTGTGGTTTACAGGCAAATACTGACTCTCCATTAGCTGAGTTCCTTCTACTCAGTAAGCAGGAGCTATTCTTCTTGCTGCTGTTGTTTTCATACAGTTATTGCTGCTGATCTTTACGTGTATTCTAATTCACTGTATGCAGAGAAAGATCATAGCGCTTGCAGTCTACAAAAGAAATCATTCACAGAGCACTGACTTTGGGTGCAAGACTAGGTCATAGTGATTTGCAAATGAGCAGGCCTAGTCAGCTGAGCTGCCCACACTCCCACAGAGGAGGCACACACGTGAGCAGATCAACTCAGTGCAGCAGGACGACTTATTCCTTGGAGGAAGGATTACAAAAGTAGAATCGAGATAAACACCAAAAGGGCCCTTAACAGAGCTGAAACTGCCTAATGTCCTTCTTCTATCACAGTGGGAGGCAAGTACTACTTGTGCTGTGACTCAGAGTTGTGCTGTACATTTTTCACCCTTCTCTTGGTCATTGACAATTAAAATTCTGTCAGTCATTGTACTTTGTATAAGTAAAGGCTTTCACAGACACTGTTTCTTTTAATCCCAAGACATTGAGTATGAGAGTCACATGGTTAGGTTTCAGGTTAGAAAATCAAAACTCAGAAATGCTGCAAAATCTGACAAAGCTTATGTGGGAAAATAGGTTACTACCTGCAATGATCTGAATGTTGGTGGTCCCACTAATGTGTATTGAAACTGAATCCCCAAAGCTATGGTATTAGGAGAATGAGCCACTGGGAGATGAAGGGAGTTAGTTTCCCCATAAAAGATTCAGACAAATAGAGTTCCCTTCTTCACACCACGTGAGGACATCGTGAAAAGCCACCACTTAGAAATGCAATAATGGGGGGCTGGGGATTTAGCTCAGCGGCAAAAGCGCCTGCCTGGCAAGCGCAAGGTCTTGAATTCGGTTCCCAGTACCAGAGAAAAAAACCAAAAAAACAAACAAACAAACAAAAAAATGCAATAATGGGCCCTCACCAGCTACTAAATTGGTTAGCAGCCTAATCTTGAGCTTCTCAGCCTCCAGAACTGTAAGAAGTGCTTACATACCATTCAGTCTACAGTAGTACTCTGTTACAGCATCCTGAATGCATCAGGACATTGCCCTGATCTCTGCCCTCCCTCCAAGAAAGTCACCAGGTATGAGCCCAGTATATTTGCTACTATACCACTATGTCATGCGGTGTCATGACACAAAGCAGCTCTCCTTTGTAAAATGTAGTACTGTAGAGTGCATCACAATAGGCCATGCTATTTTCAAATTACCAAGACTATGCAAATAATCCAAACTAATCGTAGATTCACACAATGCAATCATAAGGGGACTCTTAAAAACCATCTAGGTCAGCTCCCCCCATTTGATGTATAAGAAACCAAGGCCAATGTATAAATAATATGTCCAAAATCACTTTAGAAATAAGTAGGGAAGTTAGGGCTAAAACAACCAGCCCTCTTCATCTGTACTGCCAATCATTCATCAGCTATCAACTAGATGTTTGAGAAGAAATCCGTGCAGCAATTTAGAAGAAAAAAATCCACAGCCAGAGACGGCTGGATTGAAATGTGTGCTCCATGGTGCATAATAGCTGTTGCTTAAACTTTGTGCATCTCAATTACTCTCCTATAAAATGAGAAGAATAATGATAATACCAACTGTGACAGTTAAATGAGATAATACAGCAGATGTACTCTGAGTCACATGTAACATGGTGGCCAGTGAGGGGAAGATTACATGTTTGTCACTTCACCACTCACCATGCCGTACAGCTACTATAGTCACGGCTCTGTGGGTGGCACAGTCTGAGAACTGTTGGTTTGCTGGTCCTACTGCGGGATTGTGCAATAGGATTTCACAAGTCGCACAGGATCGTCTTCAGTGACTGCCTCTGGGGTTACTATTCCAACCCTAAAATATTTAAAGATAGAAATTTGCTGAACCCAGGGAAATGCCAGATGTTCAAAACAAAGTGACTGTCCCGCCAAGCCAGTATCACTGCTAGATGGATACTGGTCATTACAGCCCTTCTAATTTAATATCCATGGACTACTAAAGCTAAATATTTGAAATAGAGATAAATACCCTAGATATCCGTGTACAGTTAGGCTCAGCCTTTACCAACTGTTGTGCTCAGCGCTAGACACATTTTTGCCCATATGCTACAACCACACAATTAGTACCCTTTTTTCCTAGTGAAAGAGTCTATATTTCTGTCATGGTCAGAGGAAACAAAACAAAGCAATTTTATTTTTAAGCTACCATTGTTTTTAGTTCCTTTGTCCACAAAGCCATAATGAGACACATACAGAATATCCAATTTTAGATCTGTTGTGCTACCAGAATATTTTCTTTCAGGAGAAAATAAATATACAGGAAATTACTATACAAATAATCATGTCCCTCTGTGGGCCATGCTGGTAACCGCTGAGCAAAGCTCGTTGGAATGCCCTAGGCTTGGCCCCGACACCAACATGTCTGAAGAAGCCGTACATTTCTCACGACCTCCTCAAGTAGACCAATCTGGTTTGGATGAATTTGAAAAGCAAGACCTTGCCTAAGGATCACAGACTTTATAGGCTTAGTGACTCTTTTTTTAAATTCAGAAATTTGGACCAAGAGATCAAATAAACATTCTGAGAATATCGTAGAAAGAGAAGAAATCTGTGGCAGGGATTAAGTTCAGTTAAGTGGGGCCCGGTCTTTCTGTATAAAGGTAGCAGGGGGAAGAATCCAAACATAACTACACGGGGAAGTCATTCCTGAGTCTTTTTTTTAAAACAGAATAAAAAAATTAAAAGGACATTAAAAACAATACAGAATTTCAAAATAAGATGATAGGAAATCAACAATGGTTGTTATATTGCATATTGTTATCTTCAAAGTAGTTGTTCAAATTACCAGCTATAGCCATGCAAAATTGATCAAAACAAATTAAACATTAATTGTTCCTTTCCATAAAGTAATAGAAATTAGTAATGCAATTATCTTAGCTATACTGCGTGTGTATATATGTGTATGTGTGTGTGTGTGTGTGTGTGTGTGTGTGTGTGTGTGTATATATATATGTATATATATATTTCCCCTTCCTTCTTTCTTTTCTCCTTTCCCCCATCCCAGGTGTTCTTTCCTCTTGAGCAGTTTCTTTCCCTTTCACAATATCTACTGTACCTTTAGGATTTTATTTACTCTTTCAGTTTCTTACACTAGGGAGACAATACAATGTTTAAACATGTGGGTCTGATTTATTTCACTTACGAGTATGGTCTCTGGTTGCACCCATTTACCTATAAAATCCCCAAGTTTATCTTAATAGTTGAATAATACTCCATTGTATAAAACTACTGCATCTGTTTTATGCATTCCTCAGCTGATGGACATTTGGGTTGTTTCCAAGACTTAGCTATGACAAATTGCACTGCTATAAACATGGGTGCACATATATCATTGTGGTATGATGTTTTCAATTCTTCTGGAAAAATACCCATACTCTTGATTCTTGACATAGTATTCTGTTCTTCCTTGTTTGAGTTCCTGTTGCAATTCCTTATTAATCTGCAAAAATAGACATGTTTTAAATTGTCTATATATACTCTTAATTTTCGTATGTATATGCATTAGATGAAAAGATTAGAAGCTATGATGCAATTCCTGTTGTCTTGCTTTAGGCAAAAATAAGCAAATATATGTAAATAAAATTCAAGTATGGAAGTGGTTAGTAAACAGGAATAAATTCAATTCTTACTTCTCTTTTTGTTTGTTAAACTAGTGGAGTGGACCTGTCCTCCTTCCAAGCCCGTAGAACAGTCACATGCCCACAGAGAAGGGAGTTCTTCAGTACTTCATAATTCTACAGTGGTTCTTACATCAGTTCTGACAGGGGAAAGAAATGCATTAAAGGGAATCATTTATGGAACACAGACTGCCAAGCACAGCTTGGGTGTCCTTTCCTTCGCCCTGTCAGCCTTCCTCTGAGGGCGCCATCCACAGGCCCCGCAGACCCAAAGCTGAGCCTGGAGGCGTGAGTCCAGAGACTCTCAGAGTTGGAGCAGGCACTGTTAGAATATTCTGGCACCATGGAGGTAGAGTCTGACTGACTTAGATGTCCCTACCACCACCCCAGCAGTGAGAAACACCACACTTTACCTTCCTGTATGATTGCAGTGAGACAGAAATTGCAGGAGAAGAATCTGGAACCTTCTACTGCTGCAGGTTTTAGGAGGCTGCCAAGCTGCTCAAGGAACAATAGAGAATTGCTTGTCTCCTCAAAGAAACTTCTTTCAGAAAAAAATAGATAAATAAAAAAGGCCATAAATAGCACCCTCCTGCAATTCCTACCCCAGAAGACTAGAGTGTTTTTCCCTGAGGTCAATGATCAGCACAGAGCTGATCACATTTTCATTTTTGTTTTGGCTCCTGGCAAACAAGGCATCATATTTACAGTTCATTGTCATGAACCTTGCAGAGCTCTCTAGTTTAAGTATTTATTCTAGCTCTTTACCTGGCCTTGTCTTTTTATGTTTACGTATTCTCAGGTACCAACTTTCAATTATTTTATACTGGCTTGCTGACAAACCCCATTCCTACGTTACCAATAGGTAAAGTAAATAATTATTCATATATTTGGTCACTCGTTTTCATACCTGATACAGTTGTTAATTGTTAACTTTCACTACTACTCAATATTCTTTTGGGGGGAGTTTTCTCACTGTGTAATCCAGGCTGGCACTGAACTGACTATGAGGCCCAATCTGGTCTCAAATTCGCAGCAATTCTCCTGCCTCACCCTCCCATTTACTGGGCTTACAGGTGTGCACTACCATGTCCGGCCTCGGTGTTCCTATTTTTGCATTATGAGTTCCTTTAATTGTATTCAAGTTTTTTTCCCTTTATTCAGTCAATGGATCTTTACTGAGTGGCCGCTATATGCCAGGCACTAAGCTGTGGGTGCAGCCTGCAATGGAAGCAACTTGCGCATAGTCTGCTTTCAGGAAGATGATGCATTTGTCACACACAAAAACACACAGGTCACTATCTGCAGAAAGGACAAGAACGAAGCCAGCAAGTTAGAGGAGCCCATAGCAAGCACTGGAGCACAGGAATCCTGAGGATAGGCAAAGAAATATGCGCAAGACCCTTGTGGCCAGGGTTTGCAAGGGGAACAATACAGGACATATAGTTTTTAACATTATTTTACAATAGTCACCCAAAGAGTCAAATACACAGACAGTGCAGGAAATCTGTCCACACACTAAAGACCAAAAGAATCCAACTGAGGGCCTGGATCCCAAGGTAATGTCCTGCATGAGTCCAGCTGAAGACCTAGAGCTCATAACAATGCCTCCCATGAATCCAACTGGAGGCCTAGAGCCCATGACAATTCTTATGCGGGACTATGTCACAGATCTGTGCTGGGAAGGCCCAAAGTTCAGTAGTGGAAGCTAGAAAGTCTGTGCCAGAGGGGTAAAGGATCTGTGCTAGCAGGCTGAGGGATCTGCACTGGAGCCAGGAAGAGACGCTCAAAGTAAAAACCAGAGGTCCGCCCAAAAATACCACAGCCATCCTCAGCAACAAGGTCCTGAGCTTGTCTGATGATGAGACTAGCCCAGTCTTTATCGGGAAAGTCAGCATGACAAGCTGCTCCAGCACACTGAACAGTGCACATCTGCCCCTCCAGAGCCAGGAAGAGATGCTCAAAGTAAGGACCAGAGCTTCCCCAAGGTGAACCATAGCCATTCTTAGCAACAACAAGGTCCTGAGCTTCTCCAACAATGAGAACAGCTGAGTTCATCAGGAAAACCAACATGACAAACTCCTCAGGAGAACCAACAGCCCAGGAGAGCCAATAGCCCCCAACAGTTTCCCTAACAGCACCTAAACTTCTTCATTTCCAGTTCTTCTGTTTATTTTGTTGGCAACAATTCTCCAGTGGCCCTTCCACACCCAGTACCACAGTGGTTCAGTTCAGCTGGGTGTTACAAGTTGACCACCAGGTGTCAATCCACCACAAAGACCGCAGGGTGGATAGTGAGACTGTTCACATTGTCCCATTCTCCATATCTTTAACTTCACCTCTGCTGGAGAACACGCCCCTCTAGATCTCTTTGGTCTTCTGACCTCAGTTTACCCACCCACATTCACACCATATGGGTTTTGGTGTCTGGCCCTTCCTCTGTAATCCTCAGTTTATATTCCAAGGCAATAGTCAATTTGCCTCATTAATAACCCCTGTTCCAATCTGACACAGCTGCTTCTACCAGGCCATTCATTGCCTGCTGGGCCAGTTATGGATTCACCACCCCGGGGCCAGTGGACCGAAGCCCAGGGAAGCGGCATGGGGAGCCACTATGACCCTCGGATCTGACGACCTGGGCTCAACGCCTACGTCTGCCTCTTACCTGTTGTGAGACTCTAGTGGAAATTCCTTGAATCTCCTCCGTAAACAGAGGGTAAGTCTAACATCTCTAGAGCTGGGTTGTTATGACAATGAAATGAAATAACACATGAGAAGAATTCAGTGCTGTATTTGGAACTCATAAGTGCTCCATAAATATTAACTGTCACCACTGCTCATTTCCACGTGGCCGTGAGCGACCAATCACCTCGCCCGGGAACTGCAGGCCAGAGGAAGCCAGCGACTGCCGGCTCAGTTCACAGTGGGCAATTTCTTCAGTTCCTCAGCTCCGGCTGTCAAATCTGACCAGCTAGGTTTCTCCCCCCGCCCTGGGGAAAATAGAGATTTGTCTGAGGATTATTTTTCTCTCTAAATTATTTTTATCTGACCGTTTTAAGAGGAGTTATCTGTTAGAGTGGGAAATTAATTTAGTCAAAGCTAGTTCAATAAGCCGAAATAAATCATGAGAAAACTTACTAAATATTTTCACTCGAACCAGCAATTTTAACTGTTATATGACAATACAGAAACGGATCTAACCCCGGGCTAGGTACTACTCCCTGAACCCTCTGAAACTGGTCTAGGGATAAAATGACCATGAGCGTGGAAGTGAAGTCGCTGCACCTGCACTGTGCCCCTCCAGGGGGCGCCATTCACACTGTGTTTGAGACCATGACAAAGTCCTGCCAAAACCGAGACTTTCCAGAAAAATCTCACCAGGGAAAGGAGGCCGATAGGGTCATAGATGTTGGAAGGTGGCAAGTTTGCAGAGTGATGCTTGTTTAGAGGTCACCGTGTAGCTGTCATTAATATAAAACCCTGAAAAACACATTAGATCACGGTATCTCCTGGGTTTGTTTTTCACTTCGGTGGCACAAAATAGCAGCTCTCTTCCTTCTGAAGCCTTTCTCCAGCCATCTGCCTCCCTCCTACGCTGGGTCAACACGTTTCAGCCCCTCTGCATCCGTTCAGTGCCCAGCACAAGCCCAGGTCTTCCCACCTCGGGGGACCTGGGAAATTGTATTTCTTTCCCGTGATGATCTGTAATTATGTACAAGCCACTTGAATTATAAGATCTCCGCTCCGGAAATATAGGCTTCATGAAAGCTGGAGCCGTGTGTACTCTATTTATTACTAGGGTTCGGGTGTTCAGCACAATCCTTGGCCTACGGGATACCCTAAGTATTTGTTGAAAGAATTAAGGAGAGCAGGGAAACTAAAGCTAATTCACATATTGCAGAGAGCACCAAGTGATACTGTGTTCCTTCAGTACTAATGCCTGAGCAAAAGGTGAAAGAAAATGCAACAGGCCGACGTACGTCCACATACAAACCTGCTCACACGTATTTATACCAAGTAGAAATATTTATAAACACCCAAAACAGAAGAACCAATAAATGAATGAATAAGTCATGCAGCAACGAAAAGAAATTAATGACCAAAACATAAAATGACCTGAAAGACCTTTACATGCATATTGCTAAGGGAAAGAACCAGGCTAAAAGGCCTACCATGTAATGCGTAATTACAATGTAATAGTATAAGATTTGATCAGAAAATACAGCAATTGTCTAAACGATTATAACAAATGACACAGTGTCACTAATCCTCCTCAAAATACTTCCCCTTGCTTCAAACACATTTATCCTATTGTTCTTGCCACTTTCTGAAGCCATTCTGAAAGTCCTCTTTCCTGTGTTTAGCAAACTGTTGTGGCTACTTCAATGTCCTGAACCCACTAAAACCGCTTACCTTTCATGGTCATTTAGACTTTAGGGAAGAGCTAGAACACGCATGGTGCCAGACCCAGTGAATAAGGCAGATGATGACACAACGTAAGCTTGTCATGGGCCTGCCTTTCTGTTGGACAGCAGTTGGCATCAGTATCACCGTATTTTTGGTCCTGTGTCATACACTCATGAAAAAGGACTTCCAGAGTGGCTTCAGGAAGTGCCTGAATGCTGGGTTTTGAGTGTTTAAATCGAGGTGGAGAATGCTGAGGGAGGTTAATGGCAGTGTGCCTTTTATTGTAACAGTCCTTTTAAAACTTAAACATTCACCATACGTTCTGAACACACCTCATATCCAAGGGTTCACTTCACCAGTTACCACACGCTTGGTGGCTTAGAACAATACGAATTTATTCTTCCACAGTTCTGGGGACTGGACGTCTGAAATCAAGACACTGGCAAGGCCACGCTCCCCGGTAGCCTCTAGCAGAGAATCTGCTCCTGCTTTTGTCTTAGCTGCTGGACCGTCCAACAGTCCTTGGCATTCTGAGCTCGTAACTACATAACTCCAGTCTTTACATCATTAGCCTGTGATGGTTTTCTCGAGTCTGTGTTCCAAGGTCTCTCTTCTTTGAAAGAAACTGCTTCTACCAGATCAAAGGCCCATTCTATTCCAGTAAGATTTTCAACTAATTACATTTGCAATTCC